AAAATGTCATAAGTGTAATGCGTTCCCGGAGACATTTTCAATGTTCAAATGAATGAAATGTCGAAAATATAGTGTTTAAACCAATTTAAAAAAATGTTTCCTGTAGTATTAGTTCTATATTTAAGGAAAATCAAGTGTAGGTAATTAAACTTTATTTTATACAATTTCCAGAAAATGAAAATGACGTGTCCCTTACTTTTATATTTTTACGTTTTGACGGCAGAATTTCCTACTTTTACCTGATATTTAAATTACCTCATGAGCAAAAAAATTTCTTTACCATCGCATAAGCAGCAGAACACAATAACGAAGTGTGTGAAAAAAACGAAAACGATATAAGTATAAATCTGCTCGTTTGTCATGGAAGCAGAAAAAACCGAAAAACTTTCGTAATTGAATTTCTGTCAACAGTGTAACGCCTTGAAAATGGTTAGAAAATATTTTGAATTTTATATCGGTATGGAATTTAATGTATTTTTGGATTCTCTTTCGAATGGGACCAACTCCGTCGATATAAGTATAACCGTTTTCATTTTATAAGCGAAAAACGAGCAAAATGTCAACAGTGTAATGGTCATAAGTGTAATTCAAATTTGTATACACTAGAGTCTCCGAAGAGAGGACAGAAAGAGTCTTGGACCTCTCTACGGAATTCGTCCTTGACGCCGAAAATTGTAAACACTCCAGGGCCGTATATCGTATCACAGAGATGTGTTTTTTTTAACAGAATACATTCTGTTACGTATGTAAAACACTACGCGACAAAGCTACACTCAGAACAGACGCTCCTGAGTTCACGTTCCTCTTTCTGATCCCGCCCATCTCTTCCCCCCTCACTCCTTACCGCGCTGCGTCACTACTTAGTCCTCTCTTCAGAAGTCCTCTCTTGGGAGACTCCAGTGTATATGGCTTCAGTAAACGTAATAAATCACAGAGGCCTACAAAATAAAACTTTTTTCTTTTATCTTGATATCAGAATAGTTTCTAATGTATTTTTGGGCGCTGAACACGATCCCGGATCTTAAAATTGCTTAGCATGTCAAGATTTTGAAAAAAGTGGGGGTAAAAACCTCCAAGAAACATGTTTTTATGGGTGTTTAATATGATTTTTCTCTTTAACCTGACGTGGTAAAAACTTCAAAAAAGTCTTAAATTAAAGCTTAAATCGTGTACTACATGACCCGTACACGCAACCCTCCCACCTAATTTTTTTCAATAAAATATACCCGCCCCCACAAAAAAGTTTTTTTAAGATTTTTTCGGCGAAATGAATAGATGATTATTTGTTTTATGTTTATAATGTTTAAGGACATAAATTTTGCATTTTGCCTATATAATTTTTAACCCCTTCGCGGTCCAGTTAAAAATCACTTATAAGTCTAATAAGGTTCTAAACAGAGCTTCCAAAAAATTTGATTTCATCCTATTTCAGATTTTTGGGTTCATCCGTCACCAAATTCGAATTCAGCGACCCCGAAAACCCCCAAGAAACAAATTTCGACCGAATCGCATCAGTTTTGAAATTATCCGTCATATTGGGTCGCCATATTGGATCCACCATTTTAAATTTTGAAAATCTGACGTCATATTTGTAATTAGCAACACAAAAAACCCCTAAGTAACGAGTTTCAAGCGAATCGAATCAACTTTTAAATTTTCATGGTCGCCATTTTAGGTCCGCCATTTTGAATATTTTAAATCTGATTTTAAATTCGGATTCATCGATCCAAAAACCTTAGTATACTTATCACCAGTCAAATTAAATTATATTTAGTATTAATATTTTATCAAAAATTGACAGAAAAAAATTTTTATAAGTTATGTCGATTTCTGCCAAAAAAAACCGTCTGCAATAAGAAATATATGACTTTAATTTTGTGACCACTATTTATTTTGTTAATTTAACATGCTAAACTGTATAAAAAATTATTTTTAACCTTAAAATCAAAATTTTCCAACTCAACTTTTCTGGAAGTTGAATTTGACAATTTAAATGAAATGAGCCATATATAAATAAATATAAATAATTTACATAATATATTTTAGAAATTCGACGCTTATGGGAACAATCAGCTCCATCTCAGAAGGATTTAAAGAGGCACAATTCTACGAATAGTTATTGATATTCATGTCAATATGAAAGCGATTTTATCACAATTATTAAAATTTCATTTTATATACTGGTAATTTATTTATTCATAAGAATATTAATTGATTAATTTATTTAATTTATTAATTGATTATAGGCTTTGAAACCAAAATAAATTTTAATTTTTATAATATATTTTATTATATAAATTATAATATATAAACTTTTATAATTTTTTTGACTTAGTAATTTTTACTAACAATGCTTTTCGGTAAATTTCATTGATTAAAAAATATATAATGGATTAGTTAAAATAAAATTAAAGAAATATAAAATTTTAATTTAATTAAATTTGGGGAATATATAGGTGATTTGGAAACTTAAAGGGGGTCCTATATGTTCGAAAGAAATTGATTTTTTTACTTAGGAGATAATAGGTCCTTATTAAATGTCCAGGTCACATATTTATCTTGTTACTGTAAAGCGTACAAAGCGATGTACCTGATTTGATAATATTTTTTTATGCATAAAATCTAAAATAAAATTATTTGAAAAAGATGGTAAAAGTTTTCTAATTAATACTTTTTTATAGGAGCGATAGTCGAAACCCACAAAGACCAAAGTGGGAACAAAATAAACGATTCTAAGTTCAGAACATTTGTAGGAAGTGTTTTAAGCAACTCAAAAGATTGGTCAGGAAATAGAAAAAAAAGAATTAGCAAGAGTGCTAAGGAAATCATAGATGAAAAAGAAAAGGGAAATGAGGAAGACGAGAGTCATGACGAAGATGATGAAACTGAAGATGAGAATCATTGGGAGAATGAAAGACACGGAATTTAGTTCTTGATTTAAATAAAAAATTGTTTAATCTTTATCTCATTTAAATTGACAAATTTCACTCTTTATCCTTTATTTATATTAAAAATTGATGTATATTTTAAAATTAATATTTAATAAAATATAATTAAAAATATTAATTTACTTATCTTATTTAAAAAATAATTTCTTGTTCTTTAATTTTTTTAACAATGCAGTGTTAATATAGTTTTTATGACAAAAATGTGCGGCTTCAAAATATCAATTGAAATATATAAGTTTAATAGTAAAAAAATCGGACAAGTGCGAGTTACACTCGCATAAAAACCGAGGGTTCCGTACCCCTAATCCTAAAATTTGAGGGGTTTAAAGTGTGAAGGCCGATGGAAAAATTCCAATTTTGCTTAATTTTTCATGTAATGTGAGCATGGAAATACATATCATAAGTTTTTAAAAAATTTTTAATTTTTTTATCATTTAACATTTTCAATTTTATGATTTTTTTAGATTTCACCAATTAATAAAAATATCAACAAATAAAAAATGTCAAAAGATAAAAAAAATAGCAAATGGTAAAAAAAAGAAAATGGCAAAAATGGCAAATTATAAAGAATGGCAAAACACTACAAAAAAATATAGCAAGCACAATTGGAGTTCTCGCTATATTTTTTTTGTAATCTACACGCAAAAATACGTAAAAGTGTATAAATTTGAAACTCTTTAGATAAAATATTCTTCGTTTTTTGAGGAAAAATCATGATTTTTATCGAAAATTATCAGTTTTTCCTTGAAAACACTATGATAATTAACTCCAATCGTTCTCACTGTATTTTTTTTGTAATCTACAAGTAAAAATACGTAAAAAAGTATAAATTTGGATCCCTTAGGATAAAATTTTCTTCTTTTTTTATTCGAAAAATCCATGATTTTTTCTAAAAATATGAGTTTTCCTTAAAAACAATATGAACATCAACTCCAATTGTGCTCGCTATATTTTTCCTGTAATCTACACGCAAAAATACGTAAGTATACCAAATATGAACTGCCTTCGTCAAATATTGTGTGCGCTAGGAGGATTAATCGCTTTTTTTCAAAATTTTTGATTTTTCCTTGACAACGCTATGTAAATTAATCCGAATCATGTTCGCTATATTTTTCCTGTAATTTTCACGTAAAAATACATAAGTGTACCAAATTTGAGCTCTCTATGTAAAAAGATGTGGCAACGAGGGGGGGGGGTACATAGTCATTTTTAGGGATTTTTCGTAAAAATTCATGGTTTTTCCTTGACAACGCTATGATAATTAATTCCTATGAGATTCGCTATATTTTTCCTGTAATCTACACGCCAAAATACATATGTATACCAAATTTCAGCCATCTAGATAAATTCGTGTGGCCGCTAGGGGGGGGGGGTACATGCCTTGCTTCACTAGTCTCATTAATAGGGTTCCCCCTTCGGGTACGGAACCCTAAAAAAGGATGGAAATTTTTAATTCGGTTTTTTGGAGTAAAGTGGCTGCTCAAAAACATTGCATTAAAAAAAATCATGATAAAAATTTTTAAATTGTGTTCAAAGACTCGGATTCAGCGATCTTGAATCGTCCGGGTAATTATTTTTAGGCAGATTATTTAACTCATAAATTTTGGTTGACATTTCAAAGTCACCATTTTCAAATTTTATTGAAAAATTCGAATTCAGCAATCTAGAATTTGACATAAAAAGATTCAGATTCAGCCATACCATAAAACTTTACCAATGTAAAGAAATAAATGACAGATTAAAAGAGATTATTTTTATGTCAAAAAAAATTTTAATTTGTGAATTAGAAATTTAACTATCCAGAATTAAAGAATTTCCTAGTTTGGCTTTCAAGAAACTGAGCCCGACCTATTTCCAACTAGATCTGATAGTTCTTTTACGTGAAATATGAGCCTTTCTAGCCCCTGACCAGAGACAGACTTCTATTCGGGCTTTTTCCACACGGGTATTTAAAAAAAAAATTATTTCTGATGAAATTTATTGTCATCAATTAAATGAATTGCATTTCTTTGGCAAATTTACGTTGACGCATTGCATAAAAATATTACTCACTTGTCGATGTGGATTTCTGGCGTTGCGCCTTTTAAAAATGGCAACTCCAACTATAACTGCAGCCGTTAATGCAATTCCAGCAAATGCTAAAGTATAGTATAGAGACCTACTTTCTCTATGAATAATTTCACGCCTTACAGAGTAACTCTGAAAAAGAATAAATTTATGAGAATTATCACCTACGTTTATACCATAGTAACATTTATTATTTCATAAAATATCCAATTGACAAATTTATACAAACACATAAAAGTTAGATGCCTATTTTTAATTTAATTAATAGTTTTCAAAAAATTTAGAACTATTCTTCAAAACTGTGAAATAAAATTCAAAACTTTATTAAACCCTTTGAGTCACGCAATTAAGGATGAGGCCGAAATTTTTCAAAACCTGATGTCTAGAACGTTTTCGGGGTCGCTGATTACGAATTTGAGGTCAGATTTAAAAAATTTTTAAATTCAAAATGGCGGATCCAATATGGCGGACATAATTTGTAAAATCTTACTAAATTTGCTTGAAACTTGTTACTCGCGGGTTTTTGGGGTCGCTGATTACGGATCTGAAATCAGTTTTCAAAAACTCAAAATGGCGGATCCAATATGGTCGACGAAATTTTTAAAAATTGATCAAATTTGATTGAAACTGGTTACTCGGGGGGTTTTAGGGGTAACTGATTACGAATCCGATGTCAGTTTCAAAAAATTTAAAATAGCGGATCCAATATGACGGACGACTTTTTGAAAACCTAATGCAATTCGCTTGAAAATTGTTACTCGGAAGTTTTTGTGGTCGCTGATTACGAATCTGAAATCAGTTTTTAAAAATTCAAAATGGCGGATTCAATATGGCGGACGATTTCTTGCTGGTAATAGGCAGAGTGGAACATTGCAAGTTTTACAAATCCAGGACGTTCGCTTTTGGTCAGCTTTTGTACTACAATGAGCACATATTGGATCCACATTTTGAATTTTGAAAAACTAACATTGGATTCGTAATCAGCGACCCGAAAACCCCCGAGTAACAAGTTTTAAGCAAATTTCGTGGATTTTTAAAATTTTCGGTCGCCATATTGTAACCGCCATTTTGAATTTTCAAAAACTGACTTCAGATTCGTAATCAAAGACCCCAAAAACCCCCGAGTAACAAGTTTCAAATGAATTGTATTAGATTTTCAAGAAGTCGTCCGCCATTTTGGATCCGCTATTTTGAATTTTTAAAAACTGATTTTAGATTCGTAATGAGAGCGACACCAAAAACCCCCGAGTAACAAGTTTCAGGCCAATTGGATCGATTTTCAAAAAAGTTGTCCGCCATCTTGGATCCGCCATTTCGAATTTTTTAAAACTAACATCAGATTCGAAATCAGCGACCCCAAAAAACCCCCGAGCAACAAGTTTTAAGCGAATCGCATTAAGTTTTCAAAAATTCGTCCGCCATATTGGATCAACATTGCAAGTTTTACAAATCCAGGACGTTCGCTTTTGGTCAGCTTTTGTACTACAATGAGCACATATTGGATCCACATTTTGAATTTTCAAAAACTAACATTGGATTTGTAATCAGCGACCTCGAAAACCCCCGAGTAACTAGTTTCAAGCAATGTTTGTCAATTTTTTTATTTTCGGTTATATGGGGGTAGTTTTGGTTAATTTTTTTACGTAAAGGGTGAATTTTTGAAATTTATTTTCTTTTTTTCAATTTTTTTAACATTGTGTAATAATAAAATGTGAGCAAAAAGATTGCGTCTAAAATTTATACAGGTTTTTCGAATTTTATTTTTTGTCCTTCTTTAAAGGGGTGTATTTCAAAAAGGGGAGGGTTTTTGAAAGTGGCATACACATATATTTGTTGCCCTCCATCTCCTCTTCAAAATGAGACCTCAGCGAAGTCGATCTGTTCAGTTTTAAGGAAGTTATGTTTTTTGACATATGTGTCACGCTGTGACTGAAAGGGTTAAATAAAAATAGGTTTTTACATTAAGGGCAAATAATCCTAGGCGAGAAAAACCAATGCTGACGATGAATTGAAGGCTAATTCTAGGCTCGGCGCCCATCGTATGTAACCCAGCCTGGATACAGCCTTTATACCATTATCAAGTCAGTATTGGTTCATGATTGGAAACCTATGCTCAATCCAAGCTTCATTCAAGCTTGGTTAAATCTTTTAGTTGATAAAATTAATGAGTATAACATAAACAAACAACATAAATTGTTTAAACATATTTATTATGTCAAAAAATGTTAATAATTTATCAAAAGATTAAATTACCATAAAATTATTATTACTTTTAAAAATCGAATTTCAATACATACCCATACCGTCAGGAATTATGCGACCTCTGCTATTTTGATGACAATAATACTATAAAATTTAAAAAAATATTAAAACTAAAACCAATGAGTTCAAGAACGTTAAAAAATATTTGTTTCTTATAGTGAAATAAAAAATAGCAAAAACACTGAAAATTGACTTTTTCTTAGATATCTAATTGAAAAATTAACATATTCTCTTTGTCAGGATGCCATTTTTTCAGGATTTTATAAGTGTTTAGAAAATAAAAAAAAAGAATTTTAGATTTATTATTTTATAAGATTTAAGCCGTTTCATAGTTATCGAAAACGCAGAGGTCGCACAATTCCCGACAGTAGTACAACAGGAACCCTAACAGCAACGGACATTTCAGAACATCCTATGGACGTCCTATCCGTATCCGGAAATTTAGATATCTCTAGGATGTTCTCAGAATATCTATGGATATCCCTAAGACATCCTATGTATATCCTGCTTTCCGGTTATTGCTAGGACTTCCTTAGGAAATCCTGAATATTTTTTTATTTGCTTAAACGATACTTTATGATTTGTAGAATACAAATTATATGATCAAAAGCGATTTCTAAGTTATGTTATGTAAAAAAAATCGAAATCTGCAGAAGGTGTCTAAAAGCGCTTTAAGTGATAGTTATCACTATCAGCTATTTTCACTTTTACCTTGGTAACAATTGCGTTCTTTTACGCTCACAGCCGCTCGATTGGCTGAAGTTTTGATCGGATTGACTTCGGCCAAAGTTTTTTTTTAATTTCATTTACGAATGCTTTAGAGTACGTAGCGGATTTTTTTTGGTTTGTTTGTATATTTTTGGCAAAAGATTTTTTGAAAAAATTTCGCCATAAAAATCGACTTTTTCCTTTTAATAGCTGCTAAATACACAAAAAATAATATTTTTAAAATATTCTTCGTACTTTTTAAAGCTAAATCAATTACAAATTCAAAAAAACTCTGAATTTTTGTTCTACATTAAACGGTCTAACTGGAATCTTTCCCACCGATTTGCCCAGCAATGAAACGAGACCAACTTTTGCGGCCTCTATAGACAATAAATTGAAACTTTTTGGAAGTATAAATATATTTTCGTAAACTTAAGAAGTTAACAAATAAAGTCTTCAAAACCAAATTTTGTTTACTTCATTCCTGTGTCTTAAAAAATTCATGAAATAAAGGTTTAAAAGAGACCTCAAAGGTGTCACTCCCCCATAAATAATTATTTATAATAAATAAATCAACGTTTTAATACTTTTGTAAATGTTATATTTTAAATTTATGAAAAATTAATGCACAATAACGGTCTCTAATTTATAATTGTTTTACATATTTTTTACTGACATTTACTATATGTGTTTGTTTTTTAACGTTATTTAATAAATTTTAAAATTTCTTTACATATATAAATCGGTTGTGGATAAGCTATTTTTGATTTCTATTGTGATTTTCTGGATCGATATTTCCTAACCTAAAATCATGTCTCCTCCTACCATACAAGTCAATACGTTAGTCAACATTCATGGGTCTATTCTTGATTTAATGGATTTACCTATGGATGGTTACACAGGTCTACAAGGTATTTTTTTGACATATCAGAGTGCTTCTCAAAGTATTTTTGTGTCTTGAATACGATGACGGGTTCCAAAATTGCGTATCACGTCAGGATTTTGATTAAAGTGGGGGTATAAAGTCTTCAAAAACCGTGTTTTTGAGGGTTTGAGTATTATTTTTTCTTTAACCTGACGGGATAGAGACTTCTATATAGGCATTAATTAAAACTTATAGCTTACACTTTAAGACTTATATGCGCAAGATAAAAAAATTAAGTTCAAGTCACCTAAAAAAATTATTGAGGTCATTATCCACAGTGGGCTTGGACTAACTTTAACCCAAAAGTACTGGACCATCTCGGCTTTCTTTAGATATTAATTCCACATTATTTTCTGAGTAATTTGAACCTAAAATGAGAAAAATCGGTAGAGGGATTTACAAATGAAGTCGATTTTTCTGTATTTTTAACTTTTTACAGTACTTTTTTATTTTGAAACAGTTGAATATTAATCAATTTGATTTCTAATCATAAATCAATTCTTTATGAAGTTGTCAAGTATTAAATTTAAAACTGTCAGAAATAGTACTCAATGTTTTGTAATAAAATTGTCTAATTTTATTACTGCTCGCTCAAAAATGTCAAAAGATAGAAGTCTTGAAGAAAATCGTTACTGTGTTTGCCTTTTTTGTTTCGGAAAAACGTCTATAATGATTTCAATTAAAGGTGCAAAAAATGACCGAAGAAAAATGAGACTATACGTCTATGTCATAGCAGTTTTGATTTGACACTGGTAAAAAAGGTACAACATTTTTTCGAAGTACATAGCATCACATACAGTCATCAGTACCATCTCTGATATGAAACGTTTTTTGTAGTTGCTTTCTCTGTCTAGTATTTTAAAATTATTCCAATCAAAATTGTGTTTATTCTGGTGCATGAAGTTGTTACTTTACTTCCATAAAACAATTTTATGAGATAGCAAAATTTTTTGATAAATTACAATCGCAGGAAACTTAGCGTTCGTATTTACCTCGATACTTTGCAACATTCCTAAAACACCGGGGTAAATACGAACGCCACTGTATTTCAGAAAAATCTTAGGGAAAATACATTTAAAGTATTGCAATTGTTAAACTTATATAAAAACTCAAAAAATACAATAATAAACCTATTATGTAATAATGCATCATATATAAATACAAAAATCAAACAATTTTCGATCGAATCCAATGAATTTTTTAATTCTCGTCTGCCATTTTGGATCCGCCATTTTGA